AAGTTACTTTGTTTTAATCTCTTTGGATTGACTTTAATTCATATATGTGTATTCACATCTCCCATGTATCTTTCGTTTGTATAGCAATCTTTACACTTAGGTGTTAAATAGAATTCGAATGAATCATTCGACCTTTGATGCATCCAACAACTGGGGTAAGTGAAATGAATTTGAAGGGAAAACAAAAAATCACTATATTGAAATGAGTGCAATCATCCCTCAATTTGCATGACTATTCAACTAATCAACTTTTAATAAGCGTTTATACAGCAAAGTCTTACCTTTTACTCATTAACTTGTGGGGACTTTGTTGAGTTTATATAATATTTTAAATTGTTATGGTCAAAGTTTAACAAGTGGATAATAAAGCTCCAATAATAGAAAATACTAGCTTCAAAATGGAGAATACAACCGAGAACAAAACACAAAAAACACTAAACATGTACAAACACTAAGGTTATGTTTGGTAGGTAAATAAATTAGCTATAATTTATTTCGTTAGCTTATAAGTTTTCTGTATTTAAATAAACTGGTAGGACGAGATTTTTTAAAAAGCTCGAGCTTATCTCATAAACTTCTTTAGGTAGTTTTTCAAATAAGCTTGTTGAAATTTTTATTTCAATTAGCTTATCAACTAATTTTACCAAACACTTTTATCATATAAGGTAGATTTTCTGCTATAAATCATAAGATATAAGCTATAAGTTCGAAAATTACTGATAAACTATAAGCTAGCTTATCAGCTAGTTTTATCAAGCATAGCCTAAATTACTCACTAAACTAGAAACACACATAACCCAAAAAACAAAACTACTAGAATAAAACCCTCATCACAGCTAGGGCTGCAAACGAGTCGAGCGGCTCACGAGCCGCTCGCGAGCGCTCGAGTCAAAACTTGACTCGAGGCTGAGTTTGACCGAACTCGAATCGAGCTCGAGCCCATATTTTGCATTTTCGAGCGGCTTGATATATATATATATATATTAAATTACTTAAATACCCCTTATATTACTTAAATTATTTAAATAGTATAACACAAGTGCTTAATGTTACTTTCATTTAAAAATTTTCGAGCCGAACTCTAGTCGAGCTATTGTATTTTCTTATAGAGTCGAGCTCCAGCCTCATAAATCGAGCTTGACGAGCTCGAGCAGCTAACAAAAAATATTCAATCCTGCTCGATAAGGCCAATGCTTGACTCGGCTCGACTCGTTTGCAGCTCTAATCACAGTCGGGAAACCATTATATCCGACGCCTGTCACCCAAGAAAAGCCAGCCCACAGCCCAATCACAAAGCTAGAAACTCCCATCACCTAAACAAAGCGACGACTAACTAGATCCGACCACGACTCGAACCCCCTTCCCCAAAGACCACCACTGGGCAAACACCGATCACCTAAACAAAGCGACGACTAACTAGACCCGACCACGACTCGAACCCCCTTCCCCAAAGACCACCACTGGGCAAACACCGCGAAACCCGCGTCAAAATCCTCCCCCACCACAACTGGACGACTGCGGCATAGATCGACCGGAGTCAAGAACCACCATCACCGGAGGAATTCGTCCTCACAAAGGAAAGGACAGAAAATGGGGAGGAAAAATAAACGCATGTCTCATCCCCAACTGTCGCAAGTCGCGATAAGATCCATCCACAACGAAAGCACCGCCTTGTTCTCGGAGTCCACTCCGCATCCACCGCCATAGCCACTCGGACAGGGAGAAGAGCTACAGCGGTAGAGGGGCCGAGTTCACGATGGGAAGCACGGTGCCGGCCATAGCCACAAGGTGCTGAGCACCGACTATGAAGAGGCGCAACGTGAAAACAATGAGGGTTGCTAATGAAATTGGAGATAGAGTAATTAGGAATTTTTTCATGGTGGGGATTGCAGGCCTATCTACCCTTGGATTAATGTTGACTTTGGTATTATTACTATTTTTAATTGAAAAAATTTGTATAAGTTAAAGGATGCAAACGAATCGAGTGAATTGTAAGCTGCCAAAAAACATTTGAGTAAAAGTTTGGTTCGAGCACGGATTTAACCGTGCATGAGTCGACCTCAAACACCACGAACTCAAGTCAAACTCGAATGTATATGTTGTAAGTTTGAGTGTTTGACATGCCGAGTTAATATTCGAGCTGAAGCTCAAACATTGATGAAAAAAATCAAGACTAGTTTGATAAGGTCGATATTCAATTGTGCTCGTCTTGTTTGTACAGTTTTTGTATAAGCAATTAGTTTATATATACAATCAATTGTGGAAACCATTGCTAGCAAATTGAAGAAAAAGAAAATGATATATTCAAATCCTTCTATTAATAATAAATGTCTCGTAAAGAGAAATGACACTTATTAGGAACATCCATAGTCCATACCACACCAAATAATCTCAAACCATGACCAATTACTCATCTTTGTCTCATATTCTTTATCCAACACAAATTATTTCATGTTACCTCCTGAAGGCCAACTCCCATGCACTATTCTAGCATAACTTCAGTTACCAAAATATTTGGCAACCTAATTGATAATCCTTTCTTTTAGGAAAAAATTACAGTGTATGTGAAACATATATAGACTAATATAGTGTGCAACATAAGAAAAGACTGCTTTTTTGTTTTGTTTGTTCTATAAGCGTTATTCACGTCCCCAAATGGCAGCAACATTGCCAGATTTTTTTTTTGGGGAAAATCAAAGTCTCCACTTTGACCTTATTACCACCCATTGCTATTTAAAGGAGGCCATGCTTTTCCCTAAATTACTCAGACAATTTCAAGTGAAAGAAAAACAGCCATTATTGACCATTAACAACATCAGCGGCTAATGGCTAAATAGTGTGATTGATTGAAGAATGGATAATTAAAAGTAGGTACATTATCTTGAAAAGTTAAAACATAGACATTCATTTTCCTTTTTACCTACAAAAGTTGGCAAATTATTGTTACATTTTCATTTTTGCTGTTCGGGTTCAGGATTCACATATGAGACGGCTTCTCGTGACGGGTCGTAAGACGAGCCGATTATTTGAGCTTGAGTCTCGTCATGTCCCTCGCTCTTACTATTTTTCTGCTGATGTCACCAATAATAAGTCCATCTTCCAGTGGCATCTTCGTCTTGGACATGCGTCTTCAAATAAAATTCGTTCTTTATAAAATAAAGGTCTTTTAGGTCCAGGTAATTTTGAGTCTTTCAGTTGTCTTCATTGTAAACTTGAGAAATACTCGACTCTTTCTTTTTCTGAAAATTTGTCAACTGCTGATAAACCTTTTGCTTTGATACATTCTGATATTTGAGGTCCTTCTCCTGTTGCTTCTATGAATGGTTTTCGCTATTTTGTTATTTTTGTTGATGACTTTTGTTGTTTTACATGGATCTACTTTCTCAAAAATCATTCTGACTTACCTACCATATATATTTAGTATGCTAGAATGATTCACACACAATTTTCCTGTTTTATAAAGGTCTTGCGTACTGACAATGCACTTGATACCCTCACACATTATAAATATATTTGTGTTTAGTTTTTGCACCGTTCGTGTTCGTCAAAGTTTTGGAACTCAGAAAGTGCTACAGGTTTTAAGACGTAGACATTGTATTTTTTGAGATGAGACACCTGAACCGTTGTCACATAACAAGGCGTACTCGTCTTGTAGAAAGAGCAATTATCGCCTCGACTTACTCTCTCTCTCCCTGCACATAAGTTTTGTCTACATAAAGAAAGTATCTAGTATGCAGACTGAAACGGTCCATTTGGCTTAAGCTTTCCAAGCTGAAATGACCCAATTACACGAGGCCATTCAAATTTTATATCAATATGTCACATAAAGAAAGTAATATGACTTTTTCGTTTTTCCTTAAACTTTCCAAGTCACTTGATAGTTTCAGAGATTTTCTAGCATTATTGAACTACACAACTCTATCAAGTCGCCATGGGGCTAATTTCAGGGATTTGTTTTATGCATATAGATAATATTAATCAAACACATATGCGAGACAGTAAAATCACTTTATTTGTCCTCTATGCAAAAAGGGGTATCTCTTATTTTAATTCCACCCGCTATGTTGAATATTATTTCATTTTCACCACCCGCTTTGAAAGACAATTAGCTTGCAGCTTCCCAAAAGCACATCCTTAACTTTTGTCACTTCTTAATTGTGTATCTTATTATATATTTCATGTCTTATTTTTCAGGAACAATGGTTTGCAATTCATTGAACCATGACCAATTGCAATCTCTTGATCACTAAGGAATGCCATTAATTAATGTTAAAGAGTTGTTTAAATTTTGAAAACAAATCATCAAAAGCAATAATTGAACAATTAATAAAACCCAAAGTATCCAAACTGCATCAAAAATTACATTTCCTTTTCCTTGTCCTCCTTCTCTAAGGTACAACCTAAAAAGCCCCAAGCACAACACTCACTCCAAGAAAGTCTCCATAACGTCCGGATAATCATTCCTATACTCCCCCGGATTGTGCACGTGATGGCCCATCGAGTTCGAGGTCGATATTCGAGCAGGCAAAGTGAAGCTCCTCTTGAACTTTCCCTCCATATTCTTCGAGTAACTATTATCCAAGCTCAAGAACTCGTTCGGGTTACCACTATTATTAGTGTTACTGCTATTACTAGGATTGCTGTGCAAGCCCGAAGGCCCGTCCGGATTGAACAGGAGCTTGGCCTCATCGGCCCGGCCCGTGAGAGCGCCAAAGAAGGAAAGCCCATTGGGCCACTTGATGTCGTTTTCATGGTCGGCCATCATGTGGGCCTCCATTGGGCCGGGCTCGGCTGAGTGGGGGAGGAGGAACATGTGGGTCTCGTCCTTGAAGGGTGGCATCTGAAGACGGGCCGGGCTTTGGAAAGTTGGGGATGTGAGCATTGATGGGCCTGGAGGGATGGGCCTCGTGGCCCAGTTGAAGAGGGGAGGGGATGGGCGGACGGGGATTGTGGGCTGCTTAAGTGGGCCCATGGGAGAGGATGAGGCGGGCCGGGTCGAGGAGAATAGCTGGGAAAGGTAGAATCCGGATTGGTAGCCTAAGGACTCGAACGTGTGTCTCATTCTGAGGACAAAATGCAGGTCTTCTGGTATCTGAATCAAATGTAATAATAAAATAATTTCAATGATGTGATTGATGTTAATTGTATTGTTTTTTAGTACTAGTTTGGTGGAAAAGCAATTTTTTATTTTTTTTTTACTACCAATTTGAGCTTCCTTCCTCTTTCCTTTATCCTTTTCATTTTTTGTTTTTTTTCTCCTGCCCTTTCTTTATCTTAACATATCAATTTATAATTTATTTTGGCTGGAACAATATAGGCAAATCCAAATCCAAAAATACAATTTATTTGAAAATTTTGCATGAAGCATAGGAAACTCACAATTTTGCAGGAACCAAGTTGGAGAAGGCCATGGCCAGCTTGAATAACAGCAATAGTCTGTTAAAAAAGCAATAGAATAGTTTTAAAAAAAAAAAAAGATTGGTGATTTTAATACATTTGAGGAACAATAATGATGTATGCAAAAACAAAAGGCAAAGCCAAATCAACTGTTTTGAGACACAGATTTCCTGACCTGAATCCCTGACTCAAACTGTTCATTCCACTCTGGAGGTAGCTGCAGTTAATAAATTGAAACCAAAAGGGACTTATTATTAGTAACTCAATCAATCATTCAAACACAGTAGCAGTTTTTCATGACAGCAATAATTGGGACATTGAAAGTCCACTTTTTCCTCAACCATATCATGTCATACCAAGAAAACTGGCACAAGAAAGAATCTCATTACTTGGGAAAAAGTTTGGCCTAAAACTATTCTAACTTCTTTAATCTGCTGCTTAATCACAATCAAGCAAAAAAAAAAAAAATACTTACAGCATCAAAGGAGCTCTGCCAGTAGTTGGAGATGTTTGGTTCACATTCTGTTGGCTCTTTGAACACCCATTTGTGGCATTTATCAGAAGCAACTTTTCCCATCAACCTGCAACCAAATGAAATTTTCACCCCCCCAAAAAAATATTAAACCAGACCCACAAAAATAAAAAAACACACACAAAATCAAAATT